CACCTTCTCAAGCAGCCTCGCTGGCACATGTACGTGGCTTGGCAAAGTCTGGCTGGAATTCTATTCTTGCGGGCTTGAATGTTCTTGCCAACTACACTCCCCAGCAAGACTGTCGAAACCCGTGAATGGGGATTTCCCCCTTCTAAATAATGTCAGTCAACATCGTCTCCCTGAGTTTCTTCATCCGGCTCCATTGATCAGAGAGCCTTTGTGGACAATGAATGCCTGACCCCTCACCCCTAATGAAACCTTAAACGAAGAGACTCTTAACCCGAGGGAACTAAACAAAAATAGTTTTGGTGTGTATCGAAACCGAGAATCTCTGGGTAGTCTCAAGAGTCATGAAATGCTGCGCGGCCTTGTTAGCAAGCATCTTGACACTCTTACTTACTTGTCACCTCGAAGTCGCCGAAAAACTCCATCGCGAATGTCCAGTAACCTGCCTGCAAGCAAGAGGAACTGATAGGGTTTAGGATGTAGGGTTTAGGGTCAACTCAGGTCAATGCTTCGACATGAGAGACCTGCCTCAAGACTGCTTGGCTGATGAACGTAAGCGTAGACATGCCTGAAGAAAGCCTCTTTCAAGCATTCTTCTGGGGCGGTATCGTCTAGCAAAGGTTGCCTTTGCAGCCTCTGGTGGCATGTCCTGGGAAATGGTGCAGGGATCAGCCTCTAGATCCATTTGTTTTGTAGCGCTATACAAAAACATTATGATTCACCTGGCCTCGGAATCAGCTGCTGTTTGCTTGGGCTTCGGCAAGTTGGGCTGCTCATCACTTTTCTTCTTATTGGGCTTGCTAGGCTTAGGATCAGCCTTCGAGGCTGCAGCGCCGGTTTCTAGGGTCTTCTTCTTGCTGACACCAGCGGCGGGGACCGTTGCTTCCTGCTCCTCCTCATCACCTTGCTTTGTTTTCTTTGCTTGTGATTTTTCTTGGGGGCTTCCTCGTTCTGTGGATCACACTTGGGCTTCTTGGATTTGGGGGCAGGTTCTGGCTCCTCATTGCTTTCCGCTGGGTCTGGGACCTTCTTGGGCCTGCCTGGGGCCTTCTTCTTGGGCACAGGATCCTCACCCCACTCCTCCAATTCCCCGTCATCCGGCTCTTGCGGTTCTGCAGATTCTGCAAACTGAGCTTCGCGTGTCAAGAAACTGGTGGGCTTGGCGTGGAAAAGATCATCCTCTGCCTTTGCCTGTCCTTCCTCAGCCGTCTTGCCCGGTTCACAAACCTTGCTAGGCATAACCTCAGTGGCAGCTAGCGCCTTGGGGGAGGTAGTAACGGAAGAGGTCGGCAATGATTGGCTCGCTGCGGCTCGCTAGTGGTCAGGGGTTTCTGGCTCGTTTGGACCTCAAGCTTTTCAGGAGAACAGGCCACAGACCTTTCATCACCAGTCTCGCCGCCAACCCCTGATGCAACCGACTGGAACTGGGCTTGCAGGCTCCTTGCCGGGGGAAAGACAGGCTGAAGGTTCGACATCTTTCTGGGTCTCAAACCTGAGTGGCAAACAAAGCGCATGGAAGCTTGGGGCCTGGGGTATAGCTAGGCGTTGCAATGGTTTCTAAAGAAATACTAATTGCAGACGGCTGGCTTCAGTAGTTCAATCCTCTTACGCTTGACCTCCTCACCCTGACGCTTGATCTTTTTGGCCTCGGGGGTAGGGGCATCCTCAATGACGATTGTCTCCTTCGCCGCTCTGGGTTCTTCAATCTGTGGCTTCTCGGCTTTGGGTTCTTCGATCTGTGGCTTCTTGGCTTTGGGTTCTTCAATCTGTGGCTTCTCGGATTCGGGTAACTCAATCTCTGACTTGGCCTTGGGTCCCAGAATCGCTTCAAGCTCTGGCTTTTTGGATTCAGGTTCCTCACTTACATTGTGGGGGGCTGATGCTGTGCATGATGGGGAGGAATGAGGAAGACGCAGCATTCGCCTCCAACTCCTCTGTGCTGCCTGCGCGCAGAGACTTTGCTGGGAGCAACTGCAACCTGCCCCAAGTTGCTTCGCAAGCGTCTCATCATCCAAGTCACTCTCGGAAGGATCGATTTGGCCACCCTCCTCATGATCTTCCTCGCTAGCATCCTTGACCCCAGTAGGTTCTACATAGAAATTAAATGCTCGTTCATGATGTCATACAGTTGCTGGATGCGAGGGTCCTGAGTTGATTACAAAGTTGAATCCACTTGTAGCCATAATCTCAAGACACGTGGACTGTAGAACACCAACACTAAACCCTATCAACCCTAAACCTCAACCTTGAGCACAAACTCAAATTCACGTGTGTGGTAGAAACTTGCAATCTAGAAGCGTGCCTAGTCGAACCATCATGTCGCTTTATCAGGTAGGAGATAAAACTCTTCAAGCTTTGCCCATCGCAAGATACCTTGACGAGGTCCTCCGGCACGAAACTCTTCTTTCGAAGTTGCTGGATCTGCGTGGTGCTTCTGGGGGCAAATTTAGTTTCTGGGGTTCAAAACAAGTTCAAGATTTCGAATGTACTGGCTTTATTAGGCTTGCCTCATGGCGGGCAGCGTATACGTTGATCGTCTTCAAGGTGTTGAGCATAGGCAGCCAGTGGCGCAAAGTCCGGGCAAGAACTCCGAAGTTCCAGCTGGCAGTCTTGAAGGTAATCACCCCTGTAAGTTCTACCGAAAGCCATGACAGCAAGTTGCCAGTTCTCAAGAGGTGTTCCCTGATGGCACGGTTTCTATTCCAAAGCCTTGCCAAGCCATCAAGGGCCAGGGGATCTCCCTTCTTCGTCCCCTTCCTGGGCATTGCGAAACCCCTACAATCAAGCTTTCCAGACTCCTTGAGCCTACGATCTACAAATAACAAAGCTCACTGTCAAGTTTGCCTGGAACAGAAACAAGCTAGAAGCTTGCAGGGGCACGCGAAGAGTATCAGCACAAACTGCAGCAAGTAGCCAAACCTTTTCCGAGCATTTCTAATTGCGTTGTGATAGTTCTGGGTTCATCCAGCTTGAATATACTGTATCCAAGACATGCCGCGGGTGTTGCTCTGGCCTTCCGACCTGATGACTGGGAAGCAGTTTCACTGAAGTGCTGTTTGCATGGAATGCCTGCTACAATGGATTTCAGCCAGGGAACATATAGTAGAATTTCCGCAACACCATTGCCAGAAAGAAGCAGGTTCCACGGGCACGATAATTTGCCAGCATCTTCCACACATGGCTTTCGGGGACAGCAGCCTCACAAGAACGGAAAGACCCACTACAAGCATACAAGGAATTGTTAAGGAGTCTTATTACTTTTGAAGAAGCCCTAGCCTTGGCACTCTCATCTCCATAGATCACTTGGTCACATTGCTGCCAGAATTCTGCCGGCACGGTTGCCAAACCTGCTCAGGACACTTATGGCTACTGATCGGATCAACTGTGCCTACAAACTTTGACAAACACAACCTGCCTTCTTTAGCAAGCTCGGTGGCCAGTACGGGTGACAAAGACGCCAGCACCATCCCAACTGTAAAAGGGCTGCTAGCGTACTACCAAAGTTTGACGCTAAAAGGCCCCTGCAGAACAGCTGGGATCCATGGAGCAGTTTCCAGACTCGCAAATCAGCCTGGCACAGAACACGCAGCGGAAACCCTGGGGAAGAAAGAGCCTTGGCCATCCATCCGTGGCCATGCGTGCAACACTCTAATGATGCTTCCGGTTGGTTGGGAATGTTTGGATTGCAGTTCGACAAAGTTATACAAATGCATACCAGGATTGGCAGGCTTTTGATTAAAGGGGTTCTCAGGCGACCTGGGAATGCCAGCAAGCATCTCTTCACTTAGAGGCTCTCGGAAGGGTTTGGGAATAAAAGTCAGGGCTTCAAGGGTCTTATTCAGAGGATGAAATATTCTTTGACACTCGGATTACTTGAAGTGAAGTTTCTTCTATGTGGTTGAGCAGCTGAAGTGCTGTCCAACCAGAAATGAATGCCATCGACTCTTTTTTCTGACCCAGAAATCCACCATGCCAGGTTTCAGCCCGAGCTTCATAATTCAGCCCGAAAAAGGGAAAGGCTACTATTCCCATTCAGTCCATTATAACAGCCCGAAAGGGGATGCAGGTATATATATAGTCACGCCACGGCGGACCCCCACCCCCCCCTCCAATTCCCATGGCACGGTCCCTATCTTCTAAGCTCTAAATCAGGAGTAAACTACATCCCCCCGCCCCCCCCTGTGGTGCTG